GTTACTTCTGGTTCATTTGCCATGTCTCTTGTTTGTGTCTGTGGCCAAAGTATTATTTCTTGGAAGTACAATTCCCAAAGCCATTGTTATCCATGACATTTAATGACTCAATATAGGGCTTGAGAAGAGTTGTTTTTTTTTTTTTAAGCTAGATTAGTGAATCCACGGAGAAATGTTTTGTGTATAACATTTGCATTATATAAGAATAATATGCCAGCATGAAAATTTGGTGAAATAGCACTATCGTCTGTGATTTCAAACTTAGCATTTACTGATATTGAAAATTCTGAAGGAAACCCAAAGTCGAGTCACAGCAAAAGTCAACATAATGGAATTTCAAAATTTGAGTGACTCTCATCATCATAGTATAAAAATCTGTCCTTTGATTTGATCCAATTATCTTTGCAACATGGTTCAATGCTTTTTTGATCAGCTGTTATTATTTGAGGCATAAGGTCTAAACAAATTTGGTGGTGCTTTGGTAGTCACTGGAAATGTATTCTTTGGAAATATAGAAAGAAGCAACAGGAGTTCCTCTTCATGTTCCTAACATATTTCTGGACTGCTTTATGCATTCCTGATTCTAGACCAGTCCTTTGGGGATACACTAACAAGACCAATTTTGGCAACATATTACCTGAAGTAAGAACTGAGAATATAGCCTCAGGTGTAATAGAATATCTGGCCAATGCAATGTCATGAGAGTCATAGTGATGATAAAGTGAGACCATTTCGGAACCAGAGGTAACATTCAAACATTTTCAACTAGTATGAGATAAGCACTGGCCAATCAGAATCTGAATACTAAAGTAGGTCCTGGGGAACGCCTGCTGCGCCAGCCAGTACCCCATTCTTGCTGGATCGTGAGAGGTCTTGAAGGAGGCACCAGGGTGGCAGTGGGGTTGCACGGATAGGCCAGTGCCAGCAGTTAGGTACCAAATGATATAGATATATTTTAATATTTTAACAAGCTGTGTGGCTCTTCTGGCATATGGAAGCCGACTGTCCGCCCTGTCCTTGGCTCGAGCTTCTGTGGAACAGTGGTTCTCAAAGTGTGGTCTAACGACACCTAAGGCTTTCTGAGATCCTTTAGGAAATCCGTAGGTCCTCCCTTTTTAAACGACATGTCTATGTGAAGCTGGACTTTCTTCATATGCTTACACCGAACAGCATTTTGCAACTGATCAAATGCTGAAGTAGATATACAAATCTGGTCATTTTTTACCAAGCCAGACATTAAAGTGATTTGCATAAGTGTAAAACAGTGCCATTTTTCTCAAAAACAATTGTCTTTGCTGTGAAAAATACAGTATTTTCCATAAAAATACACTATTTTTGCTAATATGTGGCAGGTTTATTGTTTTTCTAATGAACCAGTAAATAATAATTTTTAAGAGCATAAAGGGACATGGAGACTAAAGAGATTAAGAACTGCTGCATTAATAAATAAAATGATCAGAATGATAGAGCACCGGGAAGGAGAGGCTTACCAGCACCAATCCCAGATCATTCTGCTCAGAGTTTTGGTTGTCATTTGAGAGATTAGTTAATAACGTTATAATATCCCTGTGTTTTTCACTCAGGCAAAGCATATCTACCAACATACTAATACATTTGTACTTGAAAACCTCACTAATTTACACTAATTTGTGTGTATAAAGTTTTCAGTATTATTTTTTTGTAAAGAGACACATTTTGCCAAACTATGCTAAAATAAATATTATCAAAATGCCACCAAGAAGAAAGCAGCTTTGAATTAAATTTTAAAATTTTAATTAGCCTATCAATTATCATGTTTAAGGTACTTCTAAGATGCTTATTATGATCCACTGGTTTTGTATTTTCAGCATTTCATTAGAAATCCTTTTCACCTTTTTTACCTGACTTTCAAGAGAGAGGAAAAGTAAACATTAACCTCAATCTGTGCTATTATCTCAAATTCTAAGGCATCAAAATCTAATTTATGTGTCATTTTATTTAAGGCAATAATGATTGAAAGGTTTTCCATTATTTTATACAGCTGATTCTTGAATGACATAGGATTTGAGGTGCTAACTCCCATGCAGTAAAAAATTCACATATAACTTTTGACTCCCCCAAAACTTAACTAGATATCCATGGGATATTGGTTCCACGAATCCCCACAGTCCCCACCCCACCCTCCAGATACCTAAATCCACAGATGCTCAAGTCCCTTACATAAAATGGTATAGAAAATGTACACTGCTGACTCGCCACATCTGTGGAATCCAACTGTGGATCGAAAAATACTGTTTTCCATTGGTGGTTGGTTGAACCCCTGGATGGGAAACCTAAGGATATGATCTGTACATTTATTGAAACCTAGGGACTGTATATTTATTGAAAAAAATGCATATACATGGACTTTTGCAGTTCAAACCCATGTTGTTCAAGGGTCAACTGCATGACAAGGCAAACAAGCAAAACGAATATCCAAAATGATCTCCTTATAAAGTTGGGATGTCAAAGGGCTACAAGGTAAATGAAAAACAAAACCGCCCATCAGAAATGGACTTCAAGGGAAGTTGAAGGTCTCAACCTTAACACTGGATGAAAGAAGGTACTCAAAAAATTTCCCCTAAGGATCTGACCCACCATCCTTGCGTTGGTTAGAGTTTCAATTCATGCAATCAGTGTGGTCATAGGTAGTACCCCCAGGTGACTAACAAGAGCAAAAGTAAATTATCTTGTAATTATGCCATTGATTATGTGAGGAGAACCAATTCCAGAGCCGTTAAAATATGGAAAAAAAATGTGTATCTTAGAAACAATTAAATAGAGTAATTAGAATTTACTGGCATATAAAATGAATTAAATATTACTCACATTGGATTAATTTATATTGTCACACTTTATCATCTATGCTAATAGACTTTAATTTACTCTAGCAAGTGCAATGCAAGGGGAAATAGAAGCCAAACCTATATAATGATGTGCACACAAAGTTGTCCAGCATTCTTAGTGTGTCTACTTCTAAGGCCATGATAAAGTTGTAAAAATTAACATGCTCATCTCAAAACTAAGATATTCGATAAGTATATTTTTAGTATACATCATTTCTTTGCCTGATTTCTTTCCTTTGAATGTGCCTACACACACTATATTTTTATTGCTCACAGATATTATAAATTTATTAAGGCCCCTTGATTTTCATCTTCAACAGGAAAATCTATAGCTCTCCAAAAGCAACTTTTGAAAACAAAGAGTAAGGATATAGTTTAAAACCTACATTTAAATTTTCAGATGCTCTGGGGCCTAAACTTGACTCCACAATGTTTCCATTGCAATAACACAGATGTTCTTTCTTTATCATGCTCTAAACCCAAAGACCTAGATTCTATAACAGTAGCCAGGGTGGCAGCTCTAACTCTACATTTCTTTTATGTTTATTGCTTTGGTTTCTAAGAAATGTAGACTCAGGTGAGATGTGGTGCTGCTACTGGCATCTATTTTATGAATGTGTTATTACAGGTTCTTAAGAAGACAAGAACCAACATTTCAGTCATTAGTGCTAAGTAACCTAACTCAGTCTTGAGGCTTTTGGGTAATGGTCTGTGATCCCTTAATCTCTCTAATTAGCAGGCATTTGACCCAAACACATTTTAAAAGATCATATGAGTCTTTCTAGTCTCTGGTTGTTTAGTATGGGGCCAACGGGATAATGAGTGCTATCAGAAATCAGCTGTTTTCTGGGGGCATTGGGGCTACCCACTGACCACTAAACTGCAAGCTGAAACAACATAGGTCACTCCCTTCCCTCTTCCTTTTTTGAACATAATATGAAGTGCCTTTCTAAAGTTAAGAATATTGAAACTCTTGCCCTTTTTTTTTTTATTAGCTTCAAGCACTCAATGGTGATTCTCTTTTTCATGTCTTAAGGTCATGGGTTATAGATTATACAGTACTTGAATACAACTATACTCTTTAAGGTCGGTTTTGAGACCTGCATGGAAATACTCAGACAACAGTCTTAGAGACTGAAAAATGGCTGAAGGCTTTGCTGAGAAAAATTCCACCCTCTTTTCTTTCCTCACAACTGTTTTCTCAGTGCAGTGCTGAAAGTATAAAATGCTGCCTCAAGTAGGATGCCTCTTAAATGATAAATGGACAAAGTAGGTGCTTTGAATAGAAATGCTAAATAAAGCTCTTCTGTTGAAATTATGGCCTTAGTACAAAATGGCATTTATTCAAGTCATTCAAACAACTTCATTCCATTTCACAAAGAATAAAAAGACCTCTTAGAAGTCCAGACACCTTTTCTTTGTCTTCTTACAATAAAAAAATAATAATAACCAAAAGAAATCCATTCCAAGGGGCACTGGATCCATAAGCTTGCTTTTCTACCATTTTGTGTCAGGAGGGTAAATGAATAATTATGTTACATGCTTTTTTCCTTCTTGTCAAAAAAGAAAACCCTATGGGTATCAACCTTTTTTCTCCTTGACCAACAGAAAATGTCCTATTTTATATTGATAATGCATATATATATAAAACAGTCAACACGTTTATGAATATAGGGGCATAGGCATAAATACACATACATGTGCATATAGAGCATCTCAATGGTAGAATGAAATAAATCTAAATTTTTCTTTGCTTTTTTCAAAACACAGTCAACTCTCACTATTGATTTCATTGAAATATTTTCTTAAGTAGTCATACCTCTTTTTATAGCTATCATACAACTACAGATCAATTCTTTGTGAATAAGTCTTTCTGTGAGAGCCTATCAGGTTCAAGTTTGGTTCAAGACTGAAGACTCACTGTCGTGCAGAACCGAGGTCAATCTGGATGTCTTATACGCCTCCTCAATTGCTTTTACCCTGAGCACAGTCATATAGGCCTGCTCCTTTGCCCCATGTGGAGCCATTTTGTTTTCCATAGGACTTGATTTCATAATGGCCCCGAATGTCTGTTTTGCTGCCCTTCTGAGGGATGTTTACTGCCAAGTTTCTGAGCACAAGTCAGTCAGGACTCACCTCTCCTTCCCTGGGCCAAGGCCTTCCATTCTGGGTGTATTTGCTTTGATTCTGTCTCTTCTTTTGTCCTCCATCAGCGAATTTGCACAGTAAAGGCTCACTAGGGGCTGGGAAGATAAGAAACCAATTCTACATTAGCAAATCCCCCTTAAAAATAAGTGATTATTTGAGTCACAGTAGGGCTTTGTAATGCATATCTTTTGAAGTAGTCTTGCTGCTGGAGAGATATTTGGCCCCGTTTCTCGTCTCAACTCTGTTGGCCGCTGTTCTAACTGGGCTTCAGAAAAGTACTGGCAGATCATAAAAGCATATACCAAATATTGTTGAAAAAATAATCAGTGGAAGCAGAATGTGAATTTGCCTTAGAAGTAAAGAAGCGAGTGTCGACCCCTTCCAGTTATGTTAGAAACATATTCATAACTGGTATTTGTGCTTGGATAAATATTTCTCCCTCAAATCAGCTGTTTTTGTGGTAGAAACTGTAGGATTATATTTTGGAAAGAGATACTTAGGGGCTTCTTTCTACAAAGGGAGCTATTTTACTAATTGCAACGAAATTAGCTATTTTTTCTCATTATCCTCTGCAATTTCATAATGGCTAGAAATTAATTGTTCAGCCAACCCCTTTCACTCCAATTTCCCAGGAAAACTAGTCAGAATCCCAGGGAGACTAATTATTTAATAGTAAGTGAACCTGCATGATAAAATATAGCCAAAGGATATGGCCCTTGCAAATGAATCATGGACTGGAATGAAATATGGTGGTCCTGGGTGACCTATGTAAACTTATTTCCTAAGAAAAGGCGACCCAAGCTAAAGTATGACAGAACTTCTCTTCCAACAATGACATTGCAAATGACAATCTGTTTAAAATACAACAGGGCAAAAATTATTCTTTGAGAAGTAACACCACCTCCACATCCCTATTTGACTGGAAAGAATTGCTACTTGTTATTACTACAAATATATGTAAAACTGAATGAATTTAAAAACAGCCACATTGGCCTAACAAACTTGACCGATGCATTAACATGGCTAAAAGGAGGTTTTTTTATTAGTTTATTGGCTCAAATAAACCAAATATTAATTTGTAAGTTTGTAGCCTGAGTACCAAAATGAACCCCTTCCTACCCCCATACCCTAGGGGATAAAAATACGTTCTGCTAAAAATGTATTGTATTAGTGGTCCTAATTCTTTACCCTTCCCTGTATCCTTTCTTTTTTTCATGTAGTATTGCTGAGCCTTCTCAATCTGACTCTTGGTCTGACCCCAGGTGAATTGCTTTGTCCCATGAGATATTAGCAAATGAAACACAAGCAGAAGCTTGCAATGTTTTGAAGCACCTGGGCTTGCTTCTTTTGCTTCTCTGCATGGCTATGTGAGTCTGCTCAGCCTAGCCTGCTGGAGGATGCCATGCAAAAGTAGAGTCATCCTTACGGTCTCAGCCAAGGCCAAAGTATTGAGATCATCGCAGCCCCCACCCAGGCACATGAGTAAGCTCCTCTAAGG